GGCGGCTGTGAGTACCCCCGGGCAGCTGGCAGCTTCTGGCCTGGGAACGGGGGCCCCGCGGAGGGGGGAGGGCAGGCGGCGGGATCTGGCCTCCCCTCCAGAAGGGGACCCTGCTTGTGCTGTGTCCCCTGGGCACCAGAGGATATTTCCCCCCTGCTTTTCCTTTCCAGCTCTCCTCTCTGCTGCGTGGGCTGGGACTGCGACCCCCTTTAACCCTCTCTCCCCTCTTCTTGCCCTCTTCCCTCAGGACCTGCTTGGCTGGTCGCGGAAGGACCTGTGCAGTGAATTCGGCATTGGCAGACCTCATCAGGCCAGCGCCTTCGACTGGACCTGTGAGGCTGCAGCCAGGGAGAGAGACTGGCCCAGTGAGACAGAGCGGGACCGGGAATTTGGGACCAAATCAAGCTGGGACGGCACCCACAGTGTTAGGGATGGGGACCGACAGGACGGACCCTTTGGCACTGCCAGGAGGGACTGGGGCAGTGACTACAAAGGGACGGAGCTGATGGGGGAAACGCGGCTGGGCTGCAGCGACTGGTCCCAATCCCACAGTACCGGGGAAAGCTGCCTGCAGGATCAAGATTTTGGTGCCAGCAAACCCAAGTGGGGCACAGGCTATGGCTTGGATGGCACAGGCAGCAGGGAGGAGATCAGGAAGGCTGACTGGAGTAGCAGCTATGGCGTGGGATGTGGCCAGCAGCAGGACGAGGAGCCGTGCTCCAGGCAGCCCAGCTGGGCTGGCCGGTACAGCTCTGGGGACCCTGAGAGCCAGGATGGGGAGATCACGCCTGCGTGGGCTGGGGAATATGGCAACAGTGATGCAGAGATGAAGGACAGGGAGCCCATCCCAGACTGGGCCAGTGAATACAGCAGCAGGGATGCTGAGAACAAGGAGAAGGATTTTACGCTGGGCTGGGCTGGCAGATCCAGCACGGGGGACACTGGGACCCCGGACAAGGAGCTCAGCCCCAGCAGGCCTGCCTGGGACAGCAAATACAGCACCAGGGACATGGAGAGCCAGGACCGGGAGTTCAGCCCCAGCAGACCAGCCTGGGCTGGTGAGTACAGCACCCAAGACATGGAGAGCCAGGACCGGGAGTTCAGCCCCAGCAGACCAGCCTGGGCTGGTGAGTACAGCACCCAAGACATGGAGAGCCAGGACCGGGAGTTCAGCCCCAGCAGGCCGGCCTGGGACGAGGAGCACAGCACCACAGACATGGAGACCCAGGACAGGGACTTCCAACCCAGCGGACCGGCCTGGGCCAGCGAGTACAGCAGCAGAGAGATGGAGACCCAGGATAGTGGGTTCAAACCCAGCAGACCAGCCTGGGATGATGAGTACAGGCCCGGGGACGTGGAGAGCCAGGACCGGGAGTTCAGCCCCGGCAGACCAGCCTGGGCCAGCGAGTATGGCTCCACGAACACCGAAAAGCAAGAAAGAGAGTTTAGTCCTGGCCGGCTGAGCTGGGCTGGTGAGCACAGCATTGGCCAAACCAAGCTGGTTGATGCTTTTGGTGTCAGGAAAGATGACTTGCCTGGCTCCTGTGCCCCCGATCCCCCGGCCCAGGAGCCTGGCTGGGGCAGCGCCGACCAGCAGGAGCATGGTACCACCGATAGCAGGGACTGGGCTGAAGAGCTTGGAGGAGCCGAGCACCACAACCAATTTGGCATCATTGGAACAGAGCGGGTGTCAGACGCTTCCAGCACCGAAGCGTCACCAGATGGCTCGATGTCCTGGGCTGGTGGAATGAGGTCTGGGGGCCTGCAGGAGCCCCTGGGAGAGTGGCACAGGGATCTCTCCTTCTGCAGCTCAGATGCCACCAGCTGTGTGGTCACTGGTGGTGCTGGCAGGGTTGGACCAGGCCAGACAGCATGGGATCAGGGCCCGGGCAGCCTGCCTGCCCTGGGTGGCTCTGCCCAGCCCCGGGAGGCCAGGGCGGAAGAGCCAGCCTGGAACCAGGACCTCGATGCAGCCAGCTGGAGCGTGGAGCTGTGCGACGCCGAGGCCACGCGCCAGGAGTGGGCCAGCGCTTTTGGCGCCCGCTGTGCGGCCCGGAGCCGGGACTTTAGTGCTGGGGAGCAGAGCCAGGGAGATGACACCAGCTCAGCAGACGGGTAAGGAGGGCGCTGGCGGTGGCAGCGCGGCCCCAGGGAAGGATCCGTCCCCCTCGGGTGCCCATGCTGTCCTGCAGTGGGGACTTCCGACGCCGTGGGCCTTGTGCTGGCGTTCTACCATGTCTCACTCATAGCTGGGAACCTGCTGCCTCCGGCCCTGGGCTGCCAGAGCTCCTCTTCCCCAGCCTCCGCATTTCCCCATATAGCCTCTGGCCCCGCAACTGGAGCGGGAACTTTTCGAGGGACTAGGTTTCAACCTGTCCCAGCAGGATCTGCTGTCTGGAGCTGATCCAGGAGGGGATGATGCCTTCAGGGCTTCTTGCGCTGGTCTCTCGCCGACCTGGGGAGCCATGTGTCAAGTTTAGGTGGTGCTGGTGTTCCTTCAGCCCCCCTAAAAAATGGCACAACAAGCCCTGTGCCCTTACCGCTTTGCCAGGATGTGGGAAACCCTGATTTCAGCCAACCGATGGAGCTGGGGATTCCCAAAATGATAAATTCCCTCAAGCTGCCTGAACATAAGGATCCCAGGAGGAGGGAAGTGAAAGCCCCACGGGCCTTGGGAAGGCCCCAGCCTGGTTGACCTGTGTGGGGCAGTGGGGAGCCCCCAACCCCCTGCTCCAGGAGCTGTGCAGTTTGTGCTGCCAGCACCTTCCCACCCCCCGGCTGGCCCTGATCATCCTCCTCCTCCTGCCCCTTGGGGCCCCTTGGTTACCTGGTGGGGCCCTGGCCACCTCCTGGAGGCTGGTGGCCCTTACTGGGGGGGCCTGACCCCTTTCTCTGCCCCAAGGGGGAGACTTGGCCTGAGTCCCCTAGGAGTCTGGCAGCCTCCTTGCCCTACCCAGACTCCAAATTCTGCCCCAGGAAGGGGCTTTGGGGGAACTTCCCAGGGGTGCTGCCACCCCCTTGGTGTGGCATCCTGGGAGAGGGGGGAGAGTCCTGGACCCCTGGGTCCTCTCCGTACTTCAGGGGAGTGGCATTTGGCCCTCCCTGTGCCTCAGTTTCCCCTTGAGGCTGATGGAGGCGAGGTTCAGGGCAGGGGAAGGGCTTGTGTTAGCTGGAGCTGGAGGAACTCTGGGGTCTCACCTTGTCTTCCCAAGCAGAAGCATCCATCTCTTGGCCCCCAGCCTGTCGATGGGTGATGCTCCAGCTGACCCACCACCTGCAGAGTCCCCCCGGAGCGAGCCGCCCAGCCCCACCGAGGAGGAGGGGGACCTCCCCGAGCCAGCCGCTGCCCCGCGCAGCCCCAGGGCCTCCCCCCTGCTGCCAGAGGCTGCTGGCGGGAGCTGGCCAGACATGGAAGGCGAAGAAGCCCCCTTGGACCACCCGGATGGGAAGACACCACCAAGTTGGGAGGAGAAGCAGCTCTTCCTGGGCACCCCTCAGCCCGAGGGACCTGTGGACCACGCCGGGGAGGAATTCACCTTCCTGGAGGTGAGCAGGGGTGGGGGCCAGCTTCCAGCCCCCTCGCACGGCCCTGGGGGCGCCCGGCCGTTACAGAGACGCTTGTCTGGGGGCCTTGTTGCTGTCCCCCTCTGGGGATGGGGGCTTTAGCTTCTGGCCCTGGCCTCCCCTGAGGGGCAAGTTGTGCATTCAGGGCCCCCCTGTGCTGTTGTGGGGACCCTGGGCATGCTGGGTGGGTGGAGTGGGGGTCTCGGGGCTCCCCGGTGCTGGGCACTGACCTGTCCCCGTGGCTCTGCAGGACACTGAGCTCCTGGACAGCAGCGTGTACCGCAGCAAGGCCAACCTGGGCCGCAAGCGCAGGCATCGGGCACCGGCCCTCCGCCCCGGGGCTGCCTCGGAAGGGGACAGCTGGATGTTCCGGGACTCCACAGGTGAGAGCCCCCCTGGGATGGTGACAACAGGAGAGGGACTGCAGGGCTGTCTGTCCCCAGCAGAGGTGCCTCATGGTGATGCTGTCCCCCTACTCGCAGAGCCCCGTCCAGCCCACCCAGCGGTGTCCTCCGACGAGGAGGCAGCAGAAGAACCCAAGAGCCGTCGGGTGCGAGCGTCCCCGTCGAGCAAAGGGGTCAAGGTGCCGCTATTCCCCGGCCTCAGCACATCCGCCCTCAAGGTGGGGCCCACCGGGACCCCGAGCGAGGGGGGCAGGAGGGAGGGGAAACTGAGGCAGAGTGGGACTGGGGGGTTGGCCAAAGGCAGAGAGAGATGGGGAGCAGGCGGTGGGAGGATTTGGGAGGGGGCAGAGCAGTGTGTGCCAGCCTGACGTCTCTCCTCTGCGCCCAGGCCAAGCTGAGGGGCCGAAACCGCTCGGCTGAGGAGGGTGTGCTGCTGGGGGACAGCAAGGCAGCCCCCCCCAAGGACCCCCATGTGCAGCGCTCCAAGTCCTGCAAGATCCCCGGCTTGAGTGGGAAACCCCTGGCGCTGCCCCCCAAGCCAGAGAAGTCCTCAGGGTGAGTGCTGGGGGTGCGGGACCCCTGTGGGAGGTGAGAGCTGTGCCTCAGGCCGGGCTTGGGGAAAAGGGGGTTGGAGGGCATGCTCCCAGGTTTGGGGACAGATGGGGCCGATGCTGAAGGGTGGGGAGGCGTCGGGGGGCTGTTACGTGGTTTGATGCCCCATTGAAGGCTTGAAGGGGTACAGAGGGTGGGTTTTCCCAGAGGCATTAGAGGCGTAAAGGGATACGGAGGGGTGCTGGGTGCTCCAGGCTAGTACTGCAGGCAGCCGGAGACTGAGCCGGGCCCTCGCCTGGCGCTGGGCTCCGGGGGAGGCTTTGCTGGGCCCAGCTTTCCCAGGGCGGTTGCCTGGAGACCCGGACTGCTCCACCCTAAACAGTGCCTGGGACGGAGCCCTTAAAGCCCCAGCCAGCGCGGCAGCTCCCTGCCTGCTTGCCTGGCTGAGGCCCTGGGGAGCGGGGCTCAGCCGCGGGGACCTCCCCCTGCTCCCCCAGGGGCTCAATCTGGGTGCTGGGGGAGTTTTGGGGGTATGTGCCAACGCTGTGCCAACACCTTCCAGGTCTGATGCCTCCCCCCCCCACTGGCTGCAAGCGCTGAAGCTAAAAAAGAAGAAACCTTGAGCGGGTGAGTGTGGGAGCTAGGAGATGCCAGGGGATGGACCCCGGCCCATCCTGCTCCCCCCGGCGCCTCAGGGCTGTGGGTCCTGGGTGCTGGAGGGGGGACCTGCAGGCAGAGGTGGCCCTGGCACCGGCCCTGCAGCACCCGGCAGGGTGGCCCAGGCCGGAGCATGTCCCCTCGTCCCTGGGCTCTGTGCTGCCAGGGGGGTGGCACCCTCCTGCCTGGTCTGGCCCAGGGACCCCCCAGGGCTGGGTCACGGCTGGGGCTCCCTGCGGTTCCTCACCCCCCTCCCCCCGCTGTGTCTCTTCCAGGCTCGCTCTCCCCCCAGCCCATCCCTGAGGATGATGGCCACTGTACCCAGGATCAGGCCTGTCCCCTCCCTGTGGCGGGGCTCACACACACATGCCCACACACCTATGCACTTTGTATGATGCTCGCAGGGTCCCTGTCCCCCTCCCCGATCCTTCCTCCCCCCTCCTCGGCCCACCAGCCTCCCCCAGCCTCCGCCTTCCCCTGGGGCGTGGGCAGCGAGCCCCCTCCCTTCCCCTCGCCCCCTGCTCTTGTATCACCCCCAGACAAAGAGCAACCGGTCAGGATTTTGGTGCCACTTTGATAGGACAATAAAACTTCGTTGGTTGGTTTGGGGGGGGCCTTGGCTCTTCTCTCAGTCCCCCCAGGTAGGGGTGGCTGTGGGGCAGAGGGGAGACACTGGCGTGGGGTCTGCCACCAGGAGGAGCTCTCTGCCTGCTGCATCCGCCTCGGCCTGCTGGGGTGCAGGGCACCTG